AGAGTGAGACTCTGTCTCAAAAAAAAAAAAAAAACAAAAAAAAACCTCTGTGGTATTTTTTATAGGTAAACAAAATGCCTTAATTTGCATTTAGTTGATTACTAGTAAGATCAACTACCTTTTCAGTGGATACAAACTCTAAAGTTACACAGAGTTTAACCTTGCTTATTGAACATTTGAGTGAAAGTGTTAAAATAAGTGATGACCATCTGTAGTCTGACATTGGCATGTGGAGAACATTGACATGGAAAGGTGTGTATGGTGATGACAGGTAATCAACAATACTTAGAAAGCCAAAGAGCCAAGACATAAATCCATGTTGGCAAACATTCCCCTGCCCCCACTTTAAATATACTTGTTTCTTAATTTTCTTTCCTTTTTTTTTACCATATATATTTTGTCTGCAGGTGAGCATTTACCTGCCAGTTTCATTTCTTTGTTTTATTAGACTCACTTTGTGACTCTTGTTTGGATCATATGCTACTTTTGTTCTTTTGGTTTTTTTTTTTTTAGATTTTATTGCGGAATGGAATTCTACCTTTTCTTGTAATCTAGAATTTACTTCCAGATTTCTTGCCTTTCCTTTTCAAAATACTTGTGTAATTGGTTAGATGGAGCTCTGGACTCGGGATTATGTTACCTGAGGTTTTTTCCCTAGTAATTTTAGGAAATCATTTTATTTGTCTGAGTTTTTGTATTTTCATGTGTAAAAGAGAGAGCACTGTCTCTAAAATATGTCTCATTATCTTTGCTTTTAAGCATGTATGTGTTTTCCCACTCTTGGGTAGTGATACATAGAGGATGATATAGCACCATTATCTGCTTTGTTTCATTTAATCTAAACACCAGCTTTAGGAGCTGGGCCCTCCTGTTGTCCCATTTTGCAGATGGAGAACTGGGGCAGGGGTCATACAGCTAGTATGAGTCAAAAGGTAATGGGTTAGGATGGGGATCTTAGTCCAGAGTCTGGCCTGGATCAACACATTCCTCTCAAACCCAATCCTCAATTCTGTGGTCCTGGCATAAAAGAAAGATATATGAATAGGTATTTATGAATGTATCAAAATATCATATGTACTCCAAAAATATGTTCATCAATTATATATCAATTAAAAAAAGAGAAATACAGGAAAAAAAAAGCCCATCAAAGGAGTTATAATTTTTATTTTCAACCATTTATGAATGTATCAAAATATCATATGTACTCCAAAAATATGTTCATCAATTATATATCAATTAAAAAAAGAGAAATACAGGACAAAAAAAGCCCATCAAAGGAGTTATAATTTTTATTTTCAACCATCTATTATTAACACATTTACCTAGATTATTTACCATTTTTGTTGTTCTCACTTCATTCTTGATGTTCTATTTCCTTCTAGTATTATTGTCTGTACAACTTCCTTTAGTAATTCTTTTAGAGCAAGTCTGCTGGCCTCAATTTTTCTTAGTTTCCCTTCATCTTAGGTTGTTTTTATTTCGTCTTTATACTAAAGGATATTGTTACTGAGCATAGAATTCTGTCTTCATGGTTCTTTTTTTTCATCATTTTAAAAAACATATTCTATTTTCTTCTAGCCTCCATGGTTTCTGATGAGAATGGTCATTAGAATTATTGTTCCCCTATAAGTAATGCATTGTTTTTCCTGGCTACTTTTGAGATTTTCTTTTTCTTTAATTTTCAGCATTTTAATTGTGTGCATGTGTGTGGATTTCTTTGTTTATCCTGTTTGGAGTTGGCTGAGCTTTTTAAGTCTCCAGATTTATGTGTTTAAAACCAAATTTGGGAAGTTTTCAACCATGATTTCTTCAAATATTTTTTCTGTACCACATTGTTTACTCTCTTCTTCTGAGACTGATGACACAAATGACCCTTATTATGGTTCCACAGGTCTCTGAGGCTCTGTTCATTTATTTTCCAAACTTTTTCTCACTATTGTTTGGTTTGGATAATTTCTTTTGATTTGTCTTCAAGTTCACTGACTCCTCCTGTCATTTGCTTTCTGCTACTGATCCCATTCATTGAATTTTTTTTTTAGTTCTAAGATTTCCATGTTGTTCTTCTGTGTGTTTTCTTTTTCTTTTCTTTTTTTTTTTTTCTGAGACTTTTAAAAATTTTCATTTCAAGAGTGTTTTGCCCTTCTTGGAGCATTTTCATAATAGCTGCTTTAAAGGCTATTAGAATTCCAGCGTATATGTCATCTTGGCATTGATGTTTGACTCTTTTTCCATGAAAATTGAGATTTTTCTAGTTACTCCAAGTGATTTTGGATTGTATCTTGAACATTTTGACTATTTTATGGGCTCTGGTCTTGTTTAAATCCTATGGAGAATGTTAATATTTTTGTTTCATTGGCCAGTCTGGTTGGGTTAGGTCACAAGTTCCAACCAGCCTCCTGTGGGCAGTGGTTATATTGTCTATTCAGTTTTCAGAGTCTTCACAGTGTTACTCAGATCTATTCTGTGTGTGTGCCGCTCAGTCATCAGTGGGACTGGGATAGTGGTGGTCTACCTCTAATGCAGTTGCGTGCTGCTGAGGGTCATCCACATATGCTTACCTTGGGGAAGGGGCCCACTAGTTCAGAAACAGCTTCAAGAGGTTGCATTCATGAGCTTCTACCTTTCTGTGATCTTCCTGGTACTTTTTGCTTTCTCTGGACTTCCCTTTTCTGTTCTTCTGGGCTTTATTTTCCTAGCATCAGGGCCAAGAAGTTGGAGGACAGAGAGAGAAATAAAGCAGGGGCTATTTGCCCTGCCCTCTGGGGACTACCACTTTTCCAGAAAGAAAGAAAGGAAGGACAAAAAAGAAAGAAAGAAAAGAAAGGGAGGGAGGGAAGGAAGGAAAGAAAGCAAGCAAGCAAGAAAGAAAAACTGTATTTTCACACTTACTTTGGTTGTTGGGAGACCCCCTTCCTCCTCCTCAAGCTAGAACTGGAGGACTTCTGGGGCTCCCGTGGTCTTGCTAATGCGTCCTTGAGCTGTGTTGAGTTCTTGAGGAGGAGGAGGAAAAAAGTGGTCTGCTCACTGCTGCTTCAATGTACTTCTAATTCCCCAGCCCACCTACCT